AAAAAAAAAAAAAAAAAAAAAAAAAAAAAAAAAAAAAGATGAGTTCCGCGTCCGCGGATTTAGCTCAGTGGTTCCACCGCCTGCTTTGCAAGCGTAACAACCACAAAAAAAGCAGATGAGTTTTTTACAGCCACGTTGTTGCTACTGGATGGATTCTGGGATCTCTAAAAGGGATGTCGTTTGAAAGGGCCCTTACAGCCAAATTTTCGAGGTCCTCCCAACATCAGGATGAAGCCCTTGGGCTCGGAGTGGCACGGATTGCGCTGCGTTCAGAGTGCAGACCCCGCTCATTCCAAGACCAAAGGAAGAGTGGCGCGATGACCCTTCCCCCTCGTCTAGGCTTTTTCATGTTTCCCCGAGCAGGAAGAGCCGTGACAACGTCCACTCCACATTGCCCGCGAGCTCGCCCCGGAAAGGTCTGCGCGTTCCCACCGCAGGTGCCAGGGGAACTCAGGCGTCTACGTGTCAGGACGCCCTGATCCTCGCATGCATGTTTGTCGGGCAGGTTTGGGGACTCTGACAAAGCTGATCCTACTCTTGAGGATAAGAACGAAAGGCGGGCTCCAGATAGCAAGGGCAGCCCGGACTCGCCTCACCTTCTCTATTTTGCCCAGAAAGAGCTCCTTGGCGAACGCTCGCCGCGGCGGACAGGTGCGCAACGGACGCCGGCTCGCCCTAGGGTCCATCAGAGCCTGGCAGGTTCGCGCCCCCGCAGCCGTACGCAAGAAGAGCCTGCAGCCGCTCATGCTGCCCGCGGTCGCTCCAAAACCCGGATCACCTACGTCGGCGCGCCGGGGTGAGGCCCTTGCCCGCGCCACATTATGACGTCACTGTCCCGCGCCACTTGATGACGCCACTGGCCCGCGCGGCCGCCGGCGAGCTTGTGTGGCCACGCCTCCAGAAAGCCGGAAGAGCCCGGAAGCCCCCTGGATTTGTTCATGTTCGAAACCGGTAGCCGTGGACGTCAGTTTCAGCCGTAGGTGGCCTCCCAGGTACCCGGGAACCTGAGAGGCGGCCCGGCTGCCTCAATCTCCCTGCCTCCTCCCCCTTGTACGATGAGACCGTGGGGAAAGGAAAGAAAAGCAAGGAGAAATTCACGGCATCACTGAATATGGATTGAGCCCCATGTTTGAAGTGGGTAGTGGGCTTTTGGGAATCATTTTATTTTGCTTCGTGGATTGCATGTATGATTATGTATATATGGAACAGAAACGGGATGTTCTGCCAGAGCGAGGGCTGTATGGAATTCTTGAGTCACCTCTATGCCTGAGAAACACCCAGGTTAAAAGGCAGAGGCCAGTCGTTGTGGTGCACACCAGTAATCTTGGCGTTTGCAGAAGCTGAGGCAGGAGGATCGCTTGTTCGAACCCAGCTGGCAACACAGCACCTAGCGAGATCCAGCCTGAAATTCTAAAAATAAATAAATAAATGACTAGAACTATAGCTCAGTGCAAAAGCCCTAGGTTGAGTCTCTAATACCGATGAGGATAGGGGGCGGGACAAGGCAGGAGGAAAAGCTAGGGAGAGGTGGAGAAGGGGTGGGACTATTGGGTGGGGCGTGTCTAGGGCGGCCCTAGGAACCCTAGTGGGAAAACTAGCACCCTGCCGAGCACAGCCTACCATCCCCTGGACAAGTAGATGGGCGTCTTCTCTGCACGTCAGCCGGCCTCCTCCAGGGAGCACACTGCTCTCCTTCCTGTACCTCTCATTGTGTCTGTTACCTGACTATGGCAGTAGCCACAGCGTGGGAATATGCTTTCTGCTCCTTCCTTCCCTGGATCGCCCTGAGTGCAGAGGAAATCCCCGTTATCTGGGCTGAGCCCAGCCTGTGAAAGGCTGACTGCAGACCCCCAGGAAAAAACAGCTGACGGAGTTTCTTGGTTGCAAAATATTCACAGGCCTCTTCCCCAGCGTCCATGTCCTATATCATCTTGTCTTCCCTATTAAAGATTTGTCTCCTGGTTTCCTCATCAGTAGTCAATTTTTGCCTATTTCAGCATTCATCTTGACCAGAAAGTGCTTGGAAACAACTATCTTTGCAAACAGGCCCCATGGATAAAACAAAGAAAAAAGCATATTGCAAAAGCTGTGTGTCAAATCTGAGCCTAACCCTAACTGTGCTGTGTCTCCCTAGATCACACAAATGAGGAAATCCAAAAGCTCACATTTTCAAAACAAAAACGAGAAACATTTTAATGCATCATGTCTAAGGGCTGTTATACAGTGGTCTACCACTTCACCAGTTTCTAAATTCAGTTGTCTCATCTGTAAAAAATTGAGTATAACACCATTTATCTTACAAGATTTCTGTGAGAACTAATAATCCACATAAAAGTACCCAACCCAGTAAATGATCAGTGTTTCTCCTGTAACAATATAAAAATAACAAGTGGTTACTCTGAGGCTTCCATCTTGGACTTGAGTATTAGCCTCTGAAAAATATGAATCTGTTTCAACCAGTTTGCTGTAAACATAATTTCTCATGTTCAGTGTTCAGAATGATCTCACATCCTTCCCACTCATGTCTACACAGCTGACACCCCTACATGACCTAGCAAGAAATAAGTCACACTCTCACCTGGCCGTGGTGTTAGTGTGTCTGGTGCTTGACTGGGGAAAGGGGAAGTCTCAGGCACATCGGCCAAATAGAAAACTGCTCCCATATACTGCATCTGAGGCAGGCAAACGATGCTTCTATGAGCCAAGAGATGCACAAGTCTACCAGCACACCATGAGGGAGGAGGAGGGAGGTTTGGGACAGATTCTCTTTCACATCCTTCAGAAAGGACCAACCTTTGACCTTGAACTCACAGCCTCCAGAACCCCAAGACAATACACTGAGTCATTTCAGTCTGTAGTACTTTGTTACAGTGGCCCCAGTGTTACCCAGTACCAGAACTGGGAAGCAGACAGCACCCAGAGGTTCGGAGGCAGTGTATGCCATTATTTACACTGGTGGACCTGACTGGGATCTTTCCCAGAAGAAGTCAGGCCCATAATAAGGTTGCGAGCAGCAGGTACAGAAGCAGAAACAGAGTATTTGGCACTGTTTGGTCAGTTGTCATTTTTTACATCTATGAGGCTTAATTCTATTGGAGTTTCCCTGGGACTATAGCAAGCAGAGTTTACACAAAGCAGAGCAGCCGAGGGAAGCAGAGCAGCAGAGGGAAGCAGAGCAAAGGGTTCTAGCAGAACTTTCTGAGTCCATTATGTTCTTTGGTGCACGTTGTCATGGCTACTCAAGTATATTCTACAAAGGGCTAGCTAAGAGCTACAAAGAGTTACCTAGTTCCATAGTTGCTTAATAACACAATTAACTCATAGTTATCCAGTTATTTTTTGTTAGAAATAGATCCTTCTGCCTAGAAATTCACTTTAAAAAATTTTTTTTTATTTTTTGGGGTATTGGGGGTTGAACTCAGGACCTTGCGCTTGCAAGGCAGGTGCGGTGCTGCTGAGCTAAATCCCTGGCTAGAAATTCCCTTTTACTAGCACACTTATGCAGAAGATGTTGTGAGTCCTAGCACACCGTGAGCATAGAAATCAATAGGGCCTCATAATGACCACCACATTGCAGTGATGTCTTAGGACCCATGTGCCCATTGTCCCTGCTGTGGTTTGGCATTAATAGTCTGTTCTATGATGGAACGTCACACAATTAAACATTCTGGCAACACTCCTTAGGTGGCACAGTGTGCCCTGGGGCACAGGTAAGAGGGACACGGCTGGGGCTAGGAGTCAGGAGAAGAGAAACTCAGTGCTACTTCTACCACTTGTCACCAGTGATTGTGGGCCAGGGTCCTCACCTGTGAGCCTATGGGGAGTAAACAGGACACCTCATTCTAAATGCTTGTACTGTTATGACATGGAGGCAGTGCTGTGACACAGAGCTCCAAAAGTCCACAGTATGCCCTTGCCAGCACCAGGGGCAGCCTTTCTCGCTGTTCATCCAGACATCCTCTCCAGTGGAACATGAGTGGAACTGAGATGTGACTCATGTCCGGTATTTAAGAAGTGAGAACCATTATTGGCTGCTCCTTTTTTGGCCGTTGGACACAGGGAATTCCACGCCCTGGGGGGTAGGGCACAAGGCAGAAGGAGCCCATGTCTTGGCTTCTTCTGAAGTATGAGCAGAGCAAAGATGGAGTATTTTGAGTGAAGTTAATGGTAATGTGTCACCTATGGTAATTTTTTAAATTCACTGTGTTTTTTGATCATACCACACATGTCTATTCCTGCTCCTTTCCCACTAAAATTGCAACAAAAGGATGTTTAAAATATACTAATCCTTAATCTTCAAGGGAACGGGATAGAAACCAACACACTTGCAAAGTGAGGGAGCTAGTAGGCAAGCAGTGACCATTGGAACAGAGCCGAATTCAACCTGCAGTGGAGAAAGCAAACAGTCATCTTCATGCTGCAGAATTGTCAGAATTCTGGGACCTCTGGAAATGGGCAGGAGGCACAACTCAGCTGAGGCATTTGAAGAGGTACCAGATATTTGAAAAGCAGGCAAACAGGTCCCCTTTCCAAGTCTGTATGGGCGGCTGGCCATCCTCTACCCCAGTTATCAATTCAAAGATTTATTCCTAGGAAAGAAGAAAAGAGGGATTCCTTAATCAGATGCAGGTTTCCACTCAGTGACACGCTGGAATCAGGCAACTTAAATGACTGTATGTGAACTGAAACCTCAGGATCTCTAGCTCCAAGGTTGGAACAGCCTGCTCCGGAGCAGGGACTCACCCTGGGAGACAGACCTGAGACTGTTATTGGGGTTCCCATCGGCAGGCTCAGCCTGGCCACCACTCATGTTACTGAGTTCAAATCCCAGCTCTGTCACATACCAACTCCAGACAATAGCTGGATCTCTCTGAGTCTGTTTCTAGGGCTGGAGAATGCAGAGAGAGCTGTGTCCAGCCCATACGGTGGCTGCTGTAGGCACGAATGATCCAAGACACTGAAGGAGTCATCTGCTCCCATGCTGGGGAGTCCAGCTGTTCGACCCCCTGCCCCAGCTGAAACCTGCCTCCTTCCAACCTGCTCCACACAGGGAGTGTTGGCTCTGCCCTGGGGCCACACACCTGTCCCCCCGAGCCTGAGACAGCTCTGTGTTCTTTGTGTCATCTTGTGTCACCAGCCAGACATCTCAGACTCTCTCCCAAGCTTCCACGGAACACACTGGGAACAGCTGGGTGCCTGCACAGCTGGGGAGAGGAAACCCTTTCCCTGCAGTTACCAGGAATGTCGCAGTGAAAGGGGAATTTTGTCTCCATGGTTCAAGCTGGACTTACTATGGGGAAATTCCCTACTTGAAATTTCCTTTGCCCCACATGCCCGGGTCTGTCCTGCCTCACATGCCTGGATACAGCTGAGCCCGCCCGCTAACAAATATTCAAACTCTGTAACCAATAAATGTGTGTCAGATGTGCCTTACTGTAACCCCGCCTCTCCCAAAGGGTATGTCCTCCTTTTCTGAGCGCTGGAAGGTGCCAGTCTCACGAGTGTGAACACAGACTGGTCCACTGGAATTAAAGCTTATTTTCACTTTGTCTCCAAGGCTCTTGATGTGCTTTCCATCCTCTCAGACTAGCAGTAACAAGCTAATTCAACTGAAAGGAGAGTTTTTGCTGTTTCATCAGGCCTCTGGGAAGTGCCCCAGACTCCTCTCTGACAGTGCTGCAAGGGCCCGGGGCTCATGAAAGACTTATGATGCCCCCCATCCCAGGGCCCCCTAAGCCATCCAAGCCTCACAAAGGTGCCTCTTACCGCAGTGCACTGTGGGAATCTGAGAACCTGTCCACCTCCATGTCCAGTCAAGGACCAGTCCTGCCAGGGTGCTGAAGGTGTTCCCTGAAAGAGCAGATGGGCCAGGAGAAATGCAGCAGAGTTAGTTTCCAGGCCCAGGGAAGGAGACAGAGAAAGCACACTCATTTACATGCAGGATCCATGCTCAGCACCAACCCTGCATCTCAGGAGGGGAAACTAAGGCTGGAAGGAAAGATGACATTTGCCCACTGCTATGTGACCAGGACAAGCTGGATCAGGATTTGAACCTAGGCCACCCTGGTGAAAGCCCCTGTTCTTTCTGCTGTACCTCCTAACCTTCCAGCGCTCCCATCTGTGAGCACAGGAGGGGCAGTGCCCTGAGCGTCTGCCTTCACATGGTTGCTCCTGTCTCTTCACCTCCACTGTGACACTACTGGGGTCCCAGGGATGGGGGAAAGAGAGCCAGGCCCAGCCAGCATGAGCTCCAAAGTCCTGGCTGACGGCCTGTGAGCCTTCTGAGCCATCACTCAGCCTAGGCAATGCCACATGCAAATCCAGCTCCCACGATAGCCTGCAAAGCCCAAACTCTGGCCGCCTGGGCCTCATCCTCTGTGGGCCAGGGCCTGCCTCAGCTCTCCACGGGGACCACGCTCTTGATTCTGTCACACTCTCTGTCACCCCATCCAGTTCCACGTCCCTCACCCACATTTCCTGACAGGCCGGCCCCAAAACAGACGCAGCTGGGGACCCCGAAAGGCTCTTCCTGTGGTATGAAGGGCGCACTCTTTAGAGTGGGACAAACTTAGGATCTTAATTGTGTCCACCCCATGGACCTCAAAGGTCAGATTGAACCAGGCTTAGCGGAAGCTCCAGAAAATGGTGCTGTGTTTACCATTACTCCAGGGCTGGTTTTTGGTTTTGTTTGTTTGTTTGTTTTGGTACCTGGGATTGAACTCAGGACCTTTCACTTGTCAGGCAAGCTCAGAGGCCTGACTCAGCTTCCCCAGAGCCCATCCCAGCTGGAGTCAGTACAAGTAGCCAGACATGAGCTGGCCCAAGCGACCCCCCGTTACAGGGCAGGGTTCCCAGTCTTTTCCGTGGATCTGTCCTCACCCTGTAGGAGCCCAGACCCTGAGGGAGCCCTTGCTTGGGACCCTGTGTGTGGGAGGAGGAGGCTGGTTTCCGGTTGGCAGGTTGGCAGAACTGAGAGACCATGCGAGTTTTCCCTTTGGCCTGATGAAAGTATTTCAGGGTGACAGGGAGGTGGTGTTTGCTCACCACTGTGAATGAACTAAACGCCCCTGGACTGCGCGCGTGGAAAGGTTTAAGTCACAGTGTGGATTGGCCTCGCACACGCACACATAAGCACGAGACCAGAACGTCTTGTTTTCCAGGAAGCAAGTTTATGGTGGTGGGAAATGAGGTGGAATCAAAGTGAACCAGAGCCGGCCTGCACTGGTCCGACGGGGACGAATCTGTGTTCGCGATACAGTGGAAAATCATTAGATAAGTGACAGGAAAGCGCTGTTATGCCCGAGCTGTAGGGATGCGTCCCCGTGGGATGGCGCTAAATGCACACGAAGAACCGCGGAGCCCGCGCACCCTGTGATTCCATCTGCAAAACGAGAGAAACGGCAACCGATCCGCTGTGGGGGGCGATGGCTCAGGATCAAGGGGCGCGGGATCGAGTAATGAGGGGATGGGCCCGTTTCGGGGTGATGGGCTCATTCCGCATAACGATCGGTGGCGGTGTGGCCCCTCCAGGGAGTTGATGGGAAAAGGGATTCGCCGGTGCGTGAAAGGGGCTTCACGACGTGACGGCGTGGCCACAGAGGGTCAGCAGCTGGCCCCAAGCAGAGATGAGAAGAGAGGTGGCCTGGTTCCTAAACAGAGTGCAGGACGGGAAAGAGTGCAGCGGTGTGGGGGTGGAAGCCGCGTCCCGCAGGAAGAGCCCCCCCCACGCCCCGTTTCCTCTGGAAACCCGAGGTCCCTGCAGCCCGGGGTCCGCCTCTTCCAGCCCACGCGTGGACGCTCCGTCCTCTGGTGCCACCGTGTGGGAGCAAGACGGAACATCAGGGGCGAGGACGGGCTGGGTCCCAGCTCCTCCGGAAGACTTACGGCTCTCACTGTGGGACTTCTGCGCCTCTTGGGAGTTTGAGTACTTGAAGAGGGGCGGAACCCCAGAAAGCCTGCGCTCTCTGATAAGGCGAGTATGGACGGGAGGCATGTGAGGAGCTCGGGCTGCCCCGTTCTCCAGAGCTTTGTCCCCAGCGCAGACGCATAGTTGGAGTGCACTGTGCCCTCCCTAAAATTAGCAGCACAGACCCTCTCTGGCCTGTTGCACACGTCTAACTTCACAGGTTCCCTGACTTTATGTGGAGGGAACTTTACAGAAGAGAGACAGACAGAGAGAGAGAGAGAGAGAGAGAGAGAGAGAGAGCTGGA